GCTGCCCTGTAAGGGCAGAGAAGCTAATTCAAAGCCCCATCTACTACTGAATGTAGTACCCAGTCCTGACCATCTAGTAAGCCTGACTAGAGTGTCTAGGCAACCGTAGAGCCCATCCCACAGCCTCACTTGGGTGGAGAACCAAGCTGGTAGTCCTATCTAACTGCTCTAAGCCAGTGAGACATCCCCTCATCCCTGACCAAAGAGGTTGAACAGTTGCCTCACCTAAAAATAGACCTTAATAGTAGGCTCCACCTGACCACGGATATTACCAGCAGATATGCCCAGAAACCCAAACTGAGCTGACTAGTGAAGATCTAACTCTGCCAAAGCAAATCTGTAAAGTCTGGAAGAGGAGCCTGATTACTGAAACGTGCAGATATCAATGTAGGGAATCAAGGATCATAAAAAAATCAGGTGAATATGATACCACCAAAGGAAACTGATAAAGCTCCAAAAACTGACCCTAAAGAAATGGACATTTATTAACTGTCAAAGAATTCAAAATAATCCTCTTAAGGAAGTTTATTGAACTACAAGAACACATAGACAGACGACCGAATGAAATTAGGAAAATAATGCATGAACAAAACAAGAAGTTTGACAAAGTAATAGAAACCATCAAAAAAAATCAAACAGAAATCTTAGAGTTGAAAATACAATAGTTGGACTGAAGAAGTCAATAGAGTATTTCAAAAGCAGACATGACCATGCAGAAGAATCATCAACCTGGAGCTTAAGATAGTTGATATTATCTAGTCAGAGGGGCAGAAAAGAATAAAAAAGAGTAAAGAAAGCCGAAGAGATTTATGGGACACAATGAAAAGAAACAATATTCACATTATGGGAATTCCAGAAGGGGAAGAGAAAAAGAAAGAGACAGAAAATATATTAAAAGCAATAATGGCTGAAAACTTCCCAAACCTGAGGAGAGAAATTAACATCCAGATTCATAAGGTCCCAAGGACTCCAAACAGGTGAACCTGAATAGGGCTACACTGAAACACATTATAATTAAAATGTCAAAAGTCAAAGACAAAGAAAATTTTAATAGCAGCAAGAGAAAAGAGAGAAGTTGCATACAAGGGAACGCCCATAAGACTATCAATAGATTTCTCAACAGAAACTTTTTAGGCCAAGAGAGAATGGGATGACATCTTCAACATATTGAAAGAAAAAAGCTGTCAACCAAGAATTCTATTCCCAGGAAAGCTATCCTTCAGAAATGAAGGATGGATAAAGACTGTCCTAAACAAACAAAAGCTGAGGGAATTCATTACCACCAGACACGCCTCACAAAAAAATGTTAAAGTGAATTCCTTGGGTAGAAGTAAAAGGATGCTAAATAACATCATAAAAACATAAAAAGATAGTGTAAAACTCACTGGTAATGGTAAATATATAGTCAAAGTTAGATTCTGTAATATGGTAATGGTGGAACATAATTCACTTACAACTCTAGTTTAAAAGTTAAAAAAATGAATGTAGTAAAAATAACCATAACTACACAATCTATTAGTAATACAATATTTGAAAGATGTAAATTGTAACAGTAATAACCTAAAATGTGAAGAGGAGGAGAAGTAAAAGTGTAAAGTTTAGGAATTCTATTGAAGTTATTAACTTAAAATAGGGTCTTATAATTTTAAGATATTTTATGTCAGCCTCATGGTAACCACAATGGAAAAACCTGTAATAATTACACAAAAGAACATAATAAAGAAGTCAAAGCATACTGATACCAAAAGACACTAAAACATGAAAAAAGACAGTGGGATAAGAAACAAGGAACAATGGACCTATGAGACAGGCAAAAAAAACAATTAACAAAATGGAAACAGTAAGTCTTTATCTATCAACAATTACTTTAAATGTAAATGAACCAAATTCTCCAATTGAAAGACATAAAATGGCTGAATGGATAAAAAAACAAGATCCAATAATATGCTGCCTACAAGAGATTCACTTTAGCCTTAAAGACACAGACCGAGAGTGAAGGGATGGAAAAAGTCATTTCAAGCAAATGATAACTGAAAACAAAACAAACAAAAAAGCACAGGTAGCTATACTTAGAAAAAATAGACTTTAAAAATGGTAAAAAGAAACAAAGAAGGTCATTATACAATGATAAAGGGGTCAATCCATCAAGCAGATATAACAATTGCAAATATTTATGTGCCCAACATTGGAGCAGCTGAATATATAAAGCAAAAACTAACAGAGCTAAAAGGAGAAATAAACAGAAACACAGTAGTAGTTGGGACTTTAAAATCCCACTCTCAACAACGTGTATATCATCCGGACAGAGAATCAATAAGGAAACAGTCGATTTGAACAACACAATAGACCAAATTGACCTAATAGATAAATACAGAACATTCTATCCAATAACAGCAGAATACACCTTCTTCTCAAATGCACTCGGAACATTTTCTAGATAGATCATGTGTTAGGCCATAAAACAAGTCTTAGCAAATTCAAGAATATTGAAATCATACCAGATATATTCTTTGACCACAATGGGATGAAGCTAGAAGGCAATAACAAGAGTAAAACTGGAAAATTCATGAATACATGGAAATCAAACAACACTCTCCTGAACAACCAATGGATCAAAGAAGAAATTAAAGGGGAAATAAAATAATTTCTTGAGACAAATGAAAATGGAAACTCAATACATGGAACTTATGGGATACAGCAAAAGCAGTTTGAAGAGAGAAGTTCATAGCAATAAACACTTACATCAAGAAGCAAGAAAGACCCCAAATAACAACCTAATTCTGTGCCTTAAGGAACTAGAAAAAGAACAAACTGTGCCCAAAGTTAGCAGAAGAAGAAAATAATAAAGATTATAGCAGAAATAAATGAAATAGAGAACAGAAAAACAGTAGAAAAGATTAACCAAACTACGAAAAGGTAAACAAAATTGACAAACTCTTAGCTAGGTTAGCCAAGGAAAAAGGAGAGAAGACCCAAATCAACAAAATTATAAATGAAAACGGATAGATTACAACTGACACCACAGAAATGCAAAGGATCATAAGAGACTACTAGGAACAACCATATACTAACAAACTGGACAATATAGAAGAAATGGAAAAATTCTTAGAAACATAAAACTTACCAAGACCAGATAAGGAAGAACTAGAAAATCTGAATAGACCAATTATTAGTAAGGAAGTTAAATCAGTAATCAAAAATCTCCCAATGAAGTAAAGCCCAGAACCACATGGCTTCTCTGGTGAATTTTACCAAACATTTAAAGAAGAATCAACACCAATCCTTCTCAAACTCTTCCAAAAAATCAAGGAGAAAGGAATACTCCAACTCATTTTATGAGGCCAGAATTATCCTGATACCAAGGCCAGATAAGGACTCTACAAAAGAAAACTACAGACCAATATCCCTGATAAACATAGATGCAGAAATTCTCAACAAAATAGTAGCAAACTGAATTCAGCAGCATATTAAAAGGATCATTTACTGTGATCAAATGGGATTTGTCATGGGATGCAAGGATAGTTCAACATAAGCAAATAAATCAATGTGATACATCACATTAACAGAATGAAAGAATCATGTGATCATCTCAATAGATGCAGAAAAAGCATTTGACAAAATTCAATGTCCATTTACAATAAAAACACTCAATAAATTAGGCATAGAAGGAACAATATCACAACATAATAAGGGCCATATATGACAAGCCCACAGCTAACATGATACGTCATATATGGTCTTCTAATATTTGATAAGGGAGCCAAGAATACTCAATGGAGAAAAGACAGTCTCTTCAATAAATGGTGCTGGGAAAATTGGATATTTACATGTAAAAGTATGAAACTTGACCCCATCTTACACCACTCACAAAAATTAACTCAAAATAGATTAAATATTTAAATATAAGACATGAAACTTCTAGAAGGGAATAGGAAAAAAGCTCTTTGACATAGGTCTTGGTAATGATTTTTGGAAATCACACCTAGATCGTAAGTAACAAAACAAAAAATAAACAAGTTGGACTACGTCAAACTAAAAAGTTTCTGCACAGTAAAAGAAACCATGAACAAAGTGAAAAGACAACCTACAGAATGGGAAAAAATATTTGCAAGTCATATATCTGATAAGAGGTTAATATCCAAAATATATAAAGAACTCATACAACTCCAGAGCAAAAACAAATAATTCAATTAAAAAATGAGCGAAGCAGGGGCTGGCCCTGTGGCTGAGTGGTTAAGTTCGTGCGCTCAGCTTGAGTGGCCCAGGGTTTTGCCGGTTCAAATCCTGGGTGCGGACATGGCACTGCTCATCAAGCCATTGCTGAGGTGTCATCCCACATGCCACAACTAGAAGGACCACAACTGAAAATACACAGCTATGTACTGGGGGGCTTTGGGAGAAAAAGGAAAAATAAAATCTTAAGGAAAAATAAAAGGGCGAAGGACCTGAATAGACATTTTTCCAAAGAAGATATACAAACGGCCAAAAGGTACATGAAGAAATGTTCAACATCACTAGTCATTAGGAAAATGCAAATTAAAACCATAAAGAGATATCACCTCATGCCTGTTAGAACGGCCATCACCAAAAGACAAGCGATAACAAATGCTGGCATGGATGTGGAGAAAATTGAATACTTGTGCATTCTTGGTAGGATTGTAAATTGGTACAGCCACTGTGGAAAATAGTAGGGAGGTTCCTCAAAAAATTGAAAATAGAGCTGATCCAGCAATTCCACTTCTGGGAGTATATCCAACTGAAATGAAAACACTAACTAAAAAAGATATCTGCACTCTCACGTTTATAGCAGCATTATTTACAATAGCCAAGACAGGGAAACAACCTAAGTGTCCATCGATGGATGAATGGATAAGGAAGTTGTGCTATATATATACTGAAATATTATTCAACCATAAAAAAAGGAAATCCTACCATTAGTGACAACATGGATGGACCTTGAAGACATTATGCTAAGTAAAATAAGTCAGACAGAAAAGATAAATACTGTACAACCTCACTTTTATGTGGAATCTAAAACAAAAACAAAAACACCAAACTCGTAGAAAAAGAGATAAGAGGTTGGATTTGCGGTTACCAGAGGTAAGGAATGAGGGGAGGAGGAATTAGAGGAAGGTGGTCGAAAGGTACAAACTTCCGGTTATAAGAAAAATAAGCACTTGGGATGTAATGTACAACTTGAGGACTGTAGTTAACACTGCTTTCTGATATACAGGAAAGTAGTTAAGAGACTAAATCCTAAGAGCGCTCATCACAAGGGGAATTTTTTTCTTTTCTTTTTATTGTATCTATATGGGAAGATGATGTTAGCTGAATCTACTGTGGTAATCATTTCACAATCTATGTAAATCAAACCATCATGCTGTACACCTTAACCCTTATACAGTGATGTCTTTCAATTATTTCTCAGTAAAACTGGAAAAAAAGAGTTGAGTGAACAAAAAGAAAGTGGTGTGTGTTTGGTGGAGGATAAAGGCGTTCATATTAAAAATAATTGAATTCACTGGGTTGTATATTCCACTAATATAGGAAGAGTGAGAAGAGCTTTTTTTTTTTTTTTTTTTTAAATAAAAAGCGTTTATTCTTGGTCTAAAGTAGGCTGTTCATGATCAGGAAGGTTTGTCTGGCTTCCCCATCAAGAAATGAAATTTTTTTGAGCACCCCCAGAGTTGTCTCATTTAGCAAAGCACCCTCACCCTTGGTCCCTGCAAGCTTTAAGGAATAAAAGACGAAACAGATGTGGCAAGGTCTCGGTTTGTTTCCTTCACAAAATGAACCAAATGTTTTCTCTTCTGAAGTGAGAATCCGGAGAGTTGTCATTAGTTGGTAGCACTGATATGGGAAATAGACGACTTCACGTTGTCTCCTTAAATGTTTTTAAAATGGTTGATGTGAATGAACATTACATTTCTCTGTCACCAAATGCCTTCAGGGAAGTGAAAATGAATAATTTGGGTAAAAATTTGGAAAACATCTCAGATAAATGCTTGTCTTTGATTGAACGGGGACAGGATGTAAGAGCCCTAGTGTGCTGTAATTTGGAAGTGCTTCTGGAGAAGAGCCATGTCTTTAAAAATTAAGTATATGTTTGTCTTTTACGGTAAACTTAGCAAGCACTTATGCCATTGGGTATCACAGGAGGGAAGTTGAATTTTTTTCTTGACCATAAAATGCCCTGGATCCATTTGAATGGTTCTTTGAAGAATTTCTTTACTCCGTATTTTTCTCTTGGTGCTATTTACATGGTATAGCTGCACAGGATGCTTTTTTACTGCTAAAAACTAGTCATAAAAAACAATCCATAATGAAAACCAGAAAAGCCCACAACTCAGAAATGAAACATATATTTCCAAGTATATTAATTTTTCTGAAAATTCAACACATAAATAGCACATTTCTAAACTCCATCAAATGGTCAAACTAACTAGGTGCTAGTGAAACGTTGTTCCCTAGTGAGGGCATTAAGCCCTTTGTCTCTGTGACGATCCTAAATGAGGACCTTCATTCACTCCTTTTGTATTTCTGTAATCCTTGTGTGGAACCAGGTCTATGTATATTGGTGGATATATACTTTCTTTTTACTTATATTACAAAGTGTGTAGCCAAGAATTATTTTTATAATAGCACCCAAACTGAGTGCCAGGAATCTTTGATTCATAAAAAGAAACATATATATAGAACTGTAGGAAATACAAAATACCTTGCCAGTGAAGCTCTCCTTTTCACAAAAAGGAACATAAAAGGTCAAGATTTTCAGTTTTGACTGAAAGAGTAGGGAAAGAAAAAATTCTAAACTGGACATACTCCACCACAAACCTGCTTATCTGTTCAAGGCGTCTTGCTGGAATCCCACAAAGATGGAACTGAAGCTAGACATCTGCTTTCTCATCCACAATCTCAATCACGAACATGGAACTGGAGTAAACTTTGGAGACAAAATAGATTCTTCATGTAGAAATCAAGTTTTCCCAAGATAAGTGTGGGCTAACCTAAGTAAGTAGACACCCAACAAATATTTATGAATAAAAGAAGGCGTAGACAAACATAGTTATACAGTCATACTAAGCTCTTTAAAAAAGGTGTTTTTTCCCATTTCTTGGCTCTTGAAAATAATGAACACATAATAGCTGAGAGCTTAGACTTAGGATAACATTCCCATAGAAGTCACGAATTTGAGAAACTCTATACCCTAGTTATTTCTCTTCACATATGAAGAAAGCTGGGCCCAGAGAGATAAGGCTCATTGCCCACAGCCCACACAGCTTGGGAGTGGTAGAGCCAAGATTAGAACTCAGATAACTTTATCCCCAGGATCACACTCTTCCAACTGGGCCATGCTGCCCCCTCTTTACTGTGACCAGTATGGTAGCCTTAACTACATTATCCCTCCCATGTTACTCCGATGACTTTCTATAAATGCTAAGTCATCTGAGGTATTGGTAAAGTGGGCACCTCAACTATATGACTGTGTAAGTTGAGGCAACTTATCGTTATGCATCACATTACCTGTGATTCTTCCAGAGTCAGTCCTGAATGTTGGACAGGCTGTTGAATGGACCCATCAAGTTGAACACTGGTACCAGATCTGTTCACATTTGACTTGTTTCTGTAGCTGAATGCATAGTAAACATTTTTTTCTTTTACTTTTCCAGTTTTTTGGGGTATAACTGATAATTAAAAGTTGTATATATTTAAGGTGTGCAACCTGATATTTTGATATACATATATATTGTGTGATAATCAATATGGTAAACATTTTTATGGTGGTTTATAATGTCAACAGGTTCAACCTGAAAGAAAATATCTTGTTAAGGAGTAATATTGATTCCAAAATGACAGTGCTAAAGTAGCAAAAGGAAGAAACATTTTACCAGGCATATTTTAATGTGGAGAAAGAGTTGATATTTTTCCTTTGGAAGCTCAGTTATGCTTGTTTAGCATAACAAGTTTATAGTGAGATAGCAGTTAATATATTAGCATGTGTCAGCCGTTAAATTCTTGACAGGGAATTGAGCACAGACAAATGAGACTTTAAGGAGACTTCTAATTCCTGCATTTATACTTAGTCCGGGAGCCAAAGAAAAGGCAAAGCAAATGCATATAGGTATAAATACACATAACTGGTAGTGGAGTGACATTCAGCTGCCTTTTTGGTATCAACAAAACCAGTTGAATACACGTAGGTATTACACAGAACTTTTTTTTTTCCCCTGTGGAAGATTTGCCCTGAGCTAATATCTGTGCCAATCTTCCTCTATTTTTATTTGGATCGCCCCCGCAGCATGGCTGATGAGTGGTGTATGTCCGTGCCTGGGATCTGAACCCTTGAACCTGGGCACCTGAATCAGAGCACACCCAACATACTTACTATGCCATGGGGCTGGCCCCTACACGAACTTTTTTTTAACATGGAAGGTATCTTTTTCCTCCAATGCATTTTGGCCACATAGGGTCACTTTCATTAGTTTAGTGGGCAGTTTTCTTAAGCTGCTTTCCCTTCTGCATTAGTTTGCTAGGGCTGCCATAAAGTACCACAAACTGGGTACTGGGCTTAAACAACAGAAATTCATTTTCCCCACAGTCTGGAGGCTAGAAGTCCAAGATCAAGGTGTCAGCAGGGATGGTTCCTTCTGAGGGCTGTCACGGAGACTCTGTTCCAGGCCTCTCTCCTAGCTTCTGGTGGCTTGCTGGCAATTGTTTCTGTTCCTTGGCTGCTGCTGCAACACTCGATCTTCTTCCATGCAAGCCATGGCTGTGTGATGATAGTCTGGCCAGAGATGTAAGCAGAAGCAATGAGGGCAGGTCTGGGCAACATCCTTGTGAAAGCTGCTTGCTCTCCACTTCCTCTGTCCACCTTCCCTCCAGCTGGAACATGGACGTGGTATGAGCCAGCTTCAACCTTATAGATGAGGGCAACATCCCAGGGCAGTGATTCTCAAACTTCATGCTTTCTGGACTCCTTTACACTCTTAAGAATTACTGAGGACCCCAAAGAGTGTTGACTTATGTGGGTTATGTGTATTGATATTTATCATATTGGAAATGAAAAGGGAGAACATTTAAAAATATTTATTTATTTTAAAATAACAGTGAACTCACATGTGTTAATTTAAATAACATATTTTTAGTGAATTTAATACATTAAAAACCAATTCTGTGAAAATATTTTTAGATTTTTCTAAATGTTTAAAGTCTGACAATAGAAGACAGCTAGATTGTCATGTCTGCTTTTGCATTTAGTTTATCGTGATATCACATGTCATGTAACCTGTGGAAAACTTTGCTGTATGCTACTGAGAAAGTGAAAATGAAAAAGGCAAAACTGTCTTAATATTCTTATGAAAATAATTTTGATCTTGTAAACCCTTGAAAGGGTCTCAAGGACTCCCCAGGAGTTCCTGGACCAGACATTGAGAACCATTGCAGAGGACAAAACAGAGGAGGCTGGGGTCCTAATGTGACTACATGGAAGAGAACCCTCTAAGCTACACCCGGGTGACCTACAACATAAACCTTCATATGAATGATAAATCTTCTATCTCAAGTCAGCCACTGCACTTTGTTCTCTGTTTAAACAATCAAACCAGCATTCTAACAAAGACAATCATTTGATGGGCAGGGTTATTTTTCTTAAAAAAGAGCTAAGAGTGAAGTGATATTTCTTACACCAAGTGTGAACTAAAAGTGGGAAACAAATTGTAGATTTAGAAGCCTCCATTTTCAAGATAAATGGGAGGAAGTACATCTCCTTATGGAAGTTACAATAGTTCCCAAGTGTTCAGATCCAAAGTGTGCCCTTCCACTTTGTCAGCCTACTTTGGTCATTTATGATAGTTGATGGCCCCAGTAGGTAAATAAGCCAGTGGAGAGCCAATGGAAATTTTTTGGCCAGAAAGTGAAGTGATCAGAGCAATGCTTCAGGAAGATCAATCTGACAGCGCTGGGGAAAGTGGACTGGAAAGGAGAGAGGCTAGCAATGGGAGAGCTGGGCAGCTATAAGGCTACTAAGATTCTAGGAGAATTGATGAAGAGTCTGGATTAGGTCGGTGAAGGAGGGTAGGGGGAGCAGAGAGGATTAAAAATATTAATGCCTGAATCTCATTACCTACACTATAATAGTTACAGAGAACCATGGTGCAGAGCACAGCACAACTCTGCACAGACTATTTCTTATTATGGCTTGTTTTCAGCATCCTGCCTACTGTTCTAAACCATGTAGGAATATTAAGGATCCCTTTAAGTATTTTACAAGACTGCCTAAAGCTAGACCCCATGTTTCCTTCCCAAGAGGCCAATAACCCCCCACCCGTAACCCACCCCCCATGCTGAGGGATCTGAAAAAGAGGGTACACTTGGCCACCTTTCACCTCTCAGTAGGCAGCAGAGGAAAAAGAGTTGTCCCCTCCAGACTGTCTGCATTACAAACCTACCCAAAGGTCCTGCCTTCCAGTCCTGGGCAGGGCACAAGGGGGTCATTGCCCTCGGTGGTGGCCCCTACCTTTGTCCAGGACATCCTTGATGGTTCTTGGAAAGTATCGTTGCTGCCTTCTTCCTGAAAGCTGGAATGAAACATGAGAAAGAATATGTGCCCAGCAGGAGGAAGGATAATAATAGCTAACAGGTATAGATAGTTTATAATGTGCCAGGTACACCTTTATGTGCTTTATATACACTTTATATAAGATGTTTAATCCTCATAACAACCACTTAAGGCAGGTACTAATATCATCCCCATGTTACAGATGAGGGAACCTAGGCACAGGATGTTAAATAACTTGTCAAGGTCATATGTCTGGTAACTGGAGGAGTCTGGATTCAAACCAGGTCATCTGTCTCCAGAGGCCTGCATTCTTAACTATTCTAGCACCTCAAATATGGTGCCAAGGGCTCAAGTCCGGGTTCTAGAGGATAGGTGTTCCCAAGAATGTGAGCAGAGAGAAGGCAGGGAGAGCTTGACATTATGTATCTATTCACAGCACCCGATACCCAAGCAAACAGAACTGGAGAAAAATCAATTCAATTCTCTGTCTGTGCCTTTACGCCACATGCCCAAATTTGTCAGGATCTCATGTTCCAGAGACAGAATGGAATCGAATACAAATCTAAAGAGATGACTCTGGCGTGCTGGACTATTGGTTTTGAATTCAATCAGGAGCTTACATTTATAACCTACGGAACAACAGGGAGAAGTGTCCCTGTCTAGGTTGGTACTGGATTTCTAATTACACATCACTCAAAGAAGAATCTGTCACCACGCTCAACATCTTGATGCATTCACAGTCTTACCCATGTGCTCTGAGGAATCTGGCAAAGTCTGCTCTCTCTTTATCAGGGAGCTGCCCGATAGCCAGGGTCTTAGAATCTCTAAGTTTTATCAATAGATGGGGAAGAATTTGGCACAGATGGTCAAAGGCCATCAATGTGTTTTTCTTCTAGAACGGTTGTGAGTTCTTATTTGCTGGATCCATGTTTCCGCCCTTTACAACTGGGTCAATTTTCTACTTATTTTTAAAATACCAACTCTGTGATACCTTTTTCTCCTGCAATAGACAGAATCCCCTTCCTGGGTTTTCACAGCACCTTGACCATAGGTTACTTTAGCACTTACTAAATTGCATTGTAATTGATTGTCTATCTACTTGTTCTTCTGCCAGATTATGAGCCTTTCCAAGACAAGGACTGTGCCTCATCCATCTCTGGGCCTCTGCACTGCGTATAGTGGCCTTACACATAGTAGGTCCTATGGTTGATGAAGAAAAAACAAGAGTGGAAAGTGAGAATGAGAGGCAGATAATGCCATTAACACCTTTATGATATGATTCAAGAGGTCCTGAGAATAATGCTCCTGTCTCCCTAAATGTCCTTCCTGGCCCTGCTTCTGAATGTGACATTCTCCCATAATCAAGGACTTGTGAAAATGCAAATGGCATTGGGAAAAGAATTCCTCATCAGCCCATAGCTATCAGTTTAGGATGAAATGATTAAAAAAAGGCAAGTTTCAGGGAAGAAAGAGACTGGGAAAGATTGGGATGCGATAGTGCCCACAACGGGTTATCCCAGGCAGAAGGGAAAAAGCCAGAGACATTGAGTGTCTGGGAAGATAAAGCAGAGAAGGGTTAATGAAGGGGATGGGTGGATCTCAAATGAATTTCCTTACATCATAATTGTCTCTAGGGAAAAATATGATTCTGCATATCCCATTGAGGCATTTTTGGAATCTGGTACTTATTTTAGTATCAAGTTTATGTGTAGATATCAGAGTTATACTAACTAGTCTAATTCTCTTGGCAATGTGGGATCCAATGAACCAGTGCTGAAGTGTATAATTCAGTGTTTTCAAGGCCAAAACAAATGCTGCATATTTAGCCTTTTTGTTTCTGAATAAATTAACTAATCAATCCACTGGATGAACCCACATTTCATTTTCACAGCCAAATCCCACGTAACACGATAACGATTCTCCAGCCCCCAATGGTAGTTTAGTCTGGAACTGGTTGCACTATATGATTTGGTGGCTTATTAATCACTTGAGAGACCTCCATGATGGCATTAGACCTAGGAAAAAAAACCACACTGAGCTGCTGTGAACCATGGATGTGAGGCTCATTTCTGCAGAGACTCCGGTCTTCCCACTCCCTAACCACCACCTTCCTTCCGCTGTCATTTGCTTCTCCCTCCCCTGCTGCCTATCTTCAGGTCATTTACTCTTCCAAAGCCACCTGCTCCTCCTCACCTTTGAGTTCCCAGGTGCCAGCTCTCTAAGATTTGACCTCGGGAACTGCCAACTCAGAGCTGGGACGGCTTTTTCCACCTGCAGCAAAAGCCATTTCAAAAAACTGGGAGAGAGCTGGGCTTCACATATTTTCCTTGCTGGATGTGTTTGTGCCTGCAAAAACCAATTACTGAAGCTCAGCTGTAAGAAATGAAATGTATTTAGTCACAGGTAAAGTTCATGAACACGGTATTAACTGCAGAATGTGTATGGTGGCATCTTTTACAAATGAATGCATATCCTAGATCCTGCTCCTTTTACAAATAAGCCATCTCAAGAGTGATATTGATGGCAAAAACAGAAGCAAGTCTAATGGCCTGGCAGCCTCAAAGCTGCTCTGAGTAACGAACTATGGCACACAGCACTTAATCTTCATCAGATTTTTCCCTCTGCTTGTTTAAAGCATCTGAAATGTCCCTATTCCCTTGGGATCAAACAGGCTTGTAGCCCTGCAGGGCAAAGTCTTCCCTCCACACTGGGTTAGTATTTGAAGCTATTGCACCAGGAGAAATCGTTGCATAGAGAGAACGCAGAAGGCACAGGAAGGCGTATATGGATGACATTTTGGCTCTACCAGCACCATTCCTGAGAATTACCGTATGCTGCCTTCCAATTGTCCAGGATCCATCTGGGAAACAAAGGACCAGACCACTAGGTATAGTTGGCCTATTCATACTAGATACGCACTTTGGTGAAAATGATTTTTTACTGAGAGGGCCACTTACTTTTGATGATTTGTGGTTCTATAAAGAAATTAAACCTGGAAGACCACCCAGTACCAAAGGTTATTCTAGGTGCAAAGGGACAGCTTTCTAAAACAACAGATCTAAAAGGACCTTGAAGAGACCTGGAGAAGTCAGAGTTTCCAGGCTGTTGGCTTATTGTTCAAACCATTCAATGAAAGGTATTGGTGTGGTTCACTTAGGTCTTTGATTGAGCTGTGGCCTCTGCTGTAGTCAGCTCTCCTTGGTTTGCCTCCTAAAGGAAGGCAAGCTGATTTAGGTTGAAGTTTGTTTCCCCTGCCGGCTCCTGTATCAATGCTGCTGGGTGGCACTAGGCTAATCCTACAATATTTCCTAATTGTTTTTAACTCTTCTTTGTTCTTTACTTTCAACTTGGAGCCATTACAGGGTAAAAAAAAGTCTGAAGGAAGTTTTAAACTTGAAGAAAGTAGAATTGGTTATGACACATTGCATACACTTATAGAGACCTCTGTCCCACTCTCCTCTTCTCACTTTTGGCGAATGGCCTCCTTCCTTCCTTTACTGGGAGGAAAAAAGTCCTCAGGTGTGTGTTTTCTTGTTCTCCCTCTAGCCTCTTCAAAATTCCATCTCCTTGTAAATCCTTTTCTTTTTTTCAATCTCAGTTGGTGTCTGGCCCTTCTTTCCAAGGCTAACTAGTCAACGTGAATTCTTAAAGCCCCACTCCTCTCTTCTTCCCTTCAGTGACGTTGCTTCTTTACATTTCCTCTCCCCTGGCACCTTCAATTTCTACTCCTGCCTTGGCTCCCCTTCCCAGTTGCCTGCAGATATGCACACACCTGTGCCTGGGAAAATTTCCCAAGCTATCCTGTTAGTTTCCTTTTGCTTTTTTCTATCAAGCCCCTTGCCCAAATGCCACCCAGTATCCACTTCCAGTAATAGCAATGCTAATAACAAGAGATTATAAATATCATTTGAGTACCTTCTCTGTGTCTATGCTGTATTGAGCAGTTTACATACATCGTCCTTTAGCTTCTCAGTACCCCTGTGAGGCAGAGACTGTTATTACCAATATTATCTCCATTTTAAAGATGGGGAAATGGAGGCATAAAGGAGTTAAGCAACTTGCACAAGATCACACAGCAAGCTTGTAGCGGAGATAGGATTGAAAACCAGGTAGTCTGATCTCAGGGCCCACAGTTTACATCACTATCTTGTACTGCTTTTCACTCTTGTTCTGCAATCAGCCCTTCCAGCGTTCGGAATCCATAAGCAGGAGGTGCGCTGACCTTGTACGAGCTGAACCCATTGACATTATGCATTTCTCATTCTCATCGACCTTTCTGCAGTATCTCATAGGGTTGGTCTTCTGTCCCCATCTTCTTTTTGACCCTTTATTCTCCTTTGGCTCTCATAGCAGCATACTATTGTGGTTCTTATCCATTCTCTCTGACCTTTCTTTCTGTCTTCATCACCGGCTCCATTTTCCTCTCTTAATAAATGTAAGCATGGCCCAAATTTTAGTCATTGAGACTTTGCAACCGTTGATATAAAGTCTCTCACCTTACCCCTCACTTGTGTCATCTGCCAGTGAATCTTAGTTCTATAGCTCCAGCCTCATTTTCCCTCCTGACATCTGGCCTGGATTTCTAACTGCATGGTGGACTTTGCCACTGGATTACCTCATCTTCACTTCAAATTCAGTATGAGTCAATATACGTGAATCATATTTTCCCCAAATTGCTAGAGCATTCTTCAATGGTACTATTACTCATCCAATCATGGCTTAAAATGTAGACATCATCTCTCAAGACTCCCTTGTCGTCACCATTTAGCATTATCTAATCAATTGTCTTTTCAGTTCTTTCTTCATGATTCTCACAGCTTTCTCCCCCATTCCATTCTCTGTCCACTGCCAGCACCCTAGAAGATGCCCTTATTAGCTAATGCTTGGCCTACAGCTAAAGCCAGTCTCTGACCTTCTGGCCTCTCTTGCTGACCCCAATCTATATGGCTAGCTGCCAAAATGTCATCAATCTGAAACACTACTTCCATCACACTATTTCCCTGCTCATAAATCTAAAGAGGCTTCCTATGAGCAAAACCCAAGCTCATTAGCCTGGCATTTAATGCCCTCTCCAATCTGACCACAATTTATCTTTCCAACTCTCCCTCCTCCACTCCAGGTGGCCTCTTGCCTGTATCCAAACATTTTCAGCTCACTCTTGTGTCCACACCATTGCTCTCCCTCCCTGGGATGATGCCCCCGCTCTTCTCCACAGACTACTTACCTTTCAGGATTTAGCTTCAGTTCTCATTTCTTCAATCAATATGTTATGACCACATTCCCCTAGAGATGATCTCCTTCCTCTGAATTCTGCAGTAATGATCATCTATGCTATCAATTTAGCGCTAAGCCTTTCCTGCCTATATTTTCATGTGATGTGTATTTCCTCCCCAACTATTTTTTTTTTTAAAACACATCAAGCAGTTGCTAGAGTCTGGGGACTACATTAGGTGTTTTAAAGTCACCATATTTTAACGATAAGATTGAGAAGTAGGTATTTTATCTGTATTTTACAGATAAGGCAATTGAGTCTCTGAGAGGTTAAGTAAATTGGCTAAGGATGCTGCTAACATGAATCTGAACAGAGATATTACCCCGGGAAAGTGACTCTAGGGCCCATTCTCTTTCTGTTGTACCCACATTATGTCCTTTCTATTGCCTTGAGGGCAATGATCCAGTTTTATCTCTCTCTGTATACTCCACGGTACCCAGTATAGCTTTTGAAGATAATTAGTGCTCAGAAATATGGCTGTTTGAAATATGTGCTACCCAAAAATAAAAATTTCCTAACATAAAAAGCCATGAATAAAATTAGAAGACAAATTATAAAATGGAAGCTTTATTGTCATATTGAAAAGAACAAGAATTAACATCAGTAATAAAGGGGGAAACATAAAAATCTTTTAAATTTAAAATTTGTTCATTAGTTCATTTATATAAATGATCAAAAAAAGAAAAAATTTAAAATTCAAAAGCTTCAGAAAAGTGTCGTCTAGGTTGGGTTCTGTGGGGAAACAGACTCTTAGGTGGAGATTTGTGTGTAGGAAGTTTGTTGGGGCAAGACTGGGTGTCTCCATCAGTGGGGGAGTGAAGGAAATGGGATTGGGCAAAGGAAAAAGCTGAACAGTGATGCAGTTAAAAACAAAGGCTTCAGCTGATAACACAATCCCATGACCCATGGGGAGTCCAGGAGCTGAGATGTTGCTTCAGATTTGTCCTGCCTTGAGGTAAGGAAGCCATCTTCTGTGACTTCTTCTCTCCATCATCTTCATTAAGGCAGGCTGCCCTGGCCAGCTGAGTGCATTTCCCAGAGAGGGATTCAACTGAGAACTAGATACTTCCAGCAGCTGGGGAAATGAGTGCCTCTGATCTGAAGAGGAAGCTGGTGGTACATCACAGCATCCAGTGCAATTATAGAAGGAATAGTCTCCTTCTAACCCATGTCCCTCAGGCACCAGAAGTTACCTTCTCCAGAGCCATCAATGTTAATCACTTTCTTTTATATCTTTCCGGAGATGTTTCATGATATTTAAGCAAACACAAATAGATGTTATTTTCCTCCTTTTTACACAAATGGTAGCATACTATACACATTGTTCTGGTCTTGCTCTTTTCACTTAAAATACATTGATTTTTGTTCATATCAATTTTTTAAAGAAGCTTCTTCAGTTTTTTAGGGCAGCATTTTATGTGGATGTCTAATGATTTATTTAACCCATTCCTGATTGGTAAATATTTAGCTTGCTTCCAAGCACTTGCTATTACAAACGCTGCCATAATGAATATCCTGAACTTGCCTCATTTCATTCACATGTGAGTATATACGTACAATAAATTCCTAGAAGTGAAATTGTTAGTTCACAAGATATGCATACCAGTAATTTTAATGTGTATGGCCAAATTGCCTCCCATGAAGTTTAGTGATGTATGAGAATGTCTGTTTCCCCATACCCTCATCAACACAATGCATTATCAATGCTTTAACCTTTCCATATCTGATAGACAAAACAATGGCAGATCAAGATACTTTTAATTTGCCTTTATTTAGTTAATTTCTATAACAATTATATGGTTCTTAGTATGTGGCAGGCACTGTTATAAGCACTGTATAAATATCAACTCATTCAATATGTGTAATTACTCTAAAAAGTAGGTTCTACCATGGTCTTCAATTTATTGACATGAAAACTGAGACACACTGAAGTTAAGTAACCTGCACACAGTAATACAACTAGTAAGAGGTAGAACTAGGATTAGAAAGTTTGGCTCCAGAGTCCATGCTCTTGTTATGAGTGAGGTTGAGCATCTTTTCCTATGCTTAATTTAGACTTTTTTCCTGTGAGTTATCTTATATCCTTTTTGGGGCTTTTAAATAATAGATTTGTGAGCTGTTTACTTATCAGTGAAAACACTTCTGCCTGGTATTCCAAGTTTGTCTTTGCCTTTTGCCTTTTTTTATGATACTTCATTTTCCATATAGACAATTCTGATTTTTATATAGTCAAATTTATCAATATTTTTTTGACTTCTGAGTTTTGTTTAATTAAAGAGGTCTTCCTGTTCTGAAATTATTTCTTCTAAAAATCCCATAGTTTCTTGTAGTGATTTTGTAAGTTTATTTTTAAAAAACATTTAAATCTTTGGTGTTTTTTGAATTTATCCTAGTAAAGTAAGAGGTATGATTTCATGTCTTGCTTTTCAGATGGTTTACCAGCTATTCAAATAACTTTTAATAAAAACTTTTAATAGAAAGTTTCTTCTCCATTGATTTGAGATACCACCTTTATAATAGATGAAATCTCTCTACATGGTATATTCTTTTCCTGGACTTCCATTATTTTGATCTGATTGCACAGACACACCATAATTTTTTGTTATTGCAGTTTTTGTGATTACATGTCTGGTAGAACTAATCCTATCTCACTAACTCTTTGTTGTTTTTGTTTCCCCCAGAAACTTGCTTTATATTCTGCATGTCCATTTTAAAATTTGAAATTCATAAAAATTAATTTTTTTCCCCTATTTTGCTCTCCATCAAATTATAGTGAGATCACATTAAATTTATTAATTAATCTAGGGAGCAGAGATCTCTTTATTTGTGGTGTTGACTCTTCTATCCAAGGACAAGTTAGACTTTTCTACTAGTTCAAAAATTTTTTACTGGTTTCTCTTCAGAGAATTTTCAAGTTTTATACATAGAGATTTTACATATTTGTTGTTAATTTCACTTCTAATTATTTGGTGTTTAACTTTATTTTTTGTCTTTAATTTTAATTTTCAATTTTAAATTGAAATTATAAATGAGGTGTTTACTTTCACTATATTTTATACTACCTAGTTCTTATTTATTGTCTAAAGGCTGTTAATTTCTGTTTGTTTTCTTTATGGTCAGACATCTTACTGAATCCTCTCATTGTTTGTACCCAATTTTAGGTTTATTTTCTGGTACCTATAAATTATACCATCTATATTTAGTTTTATCTCTTACTGTCTAGTTTTTATACATCTAACTTATTTTTCATCTCTAATTTTGTTGTCTAATACCTGTAAAAAATGTTAAATAATAGTGATGACAATGAAAACATTTGTTTTATTCCCAAATATGAGGGGATGATTTTAGCATTTTTTTATTCGCCTAATGATACATGTATTTTAACTAGTTAAGGAAATATTTATCTATTTCTAGTTGATTAAAATTCTTTAATATCACAAATGGACTTTGAAACTTACCAAGAGCATTTCCAGAAAATCTGGAGATGTTCACGTGATTTTTCCCTTCTTCGATCTATTCCTGTAGTGAGTTACAGAAATAGTTTTCCTAAGACTGAAAATTCTTACGTGACTGGGCAAATCTTACTTGGCTAGCATGCAGTTTTCTTTTAATGTGGTGCTGAAGTCTGCTAGTATTTTATTTAGAATTATTTTGCATTGATAATCATAAGGAGATTGACCTTTAAAGATTTTGGGGGGAAATTTTTGTTGAATGTTGGTATTAATTCTTGCTTCATAAGAGGAAACATTGAAGTTTTTCTCCTTTTTCTATACTACAGAATTATTTATTCTTGGAAGATTTGTAAGAAACTCACCACAAAACCATTTGATCTTTGTGTTTTTTGGGAGTGAACTGGGGATAGCTCTTTGAAAATGGTCTCTATTTCTCCTATTTAATTAATGTTTATATATTTTATCTGTATTTGAATCTATTTTGTTATAAAACATTGTAGTTACCTAGAAAATTATTTAATTTATCTGGATTTTCAAATTTAGTTGACCGAAATTAAGTAAAATTATGTTTTATGATTCCTTTAATTGTTCCTATAAACATAATTACTTCCCCCTTATTATTTCTTAGTTTGGGTATTTGTGCTTCCTCCTATTTTCTTGATTACATTTGTTATGGACTTACCTATTTTATTTTTCCAAATAACTGGCTTTTGTATTTATTAGTTCTATTTTTTGTCTGTTTGTTAATTTATTACTTCCTGCATTTTTCTTTATTGGTTGTTTTGTTCTGGTTTTCTTTGGCTCATTTGTTCCTCCTTTTCTAAATTCTCATGTTGGATATTTAGTGGATTTGTTTTTATTCTTTTTTATTAATATAAGTATTGAATTCACTGCATTTTCTTCTGAGTGCAGTTCTACCTAATCACACAGATTCTGACATGGAGTATTTTTATTCTTTTTTTTCAAGACAGTCTAAAATTTATTTTGGAGTTTCTCTTTTCCCAGGAGTTAGTTAAGAGAAAATGTTTAAATTTCCATGTATATTTCTGAGTTTGTTATTAATTTCAAGTTTTAACACATTATGGTCAGTGCTTATACTATTTCTGCCTTTAGAACATGAAGAGTTTTTCTTTTTGACTTATCAGTTTTTGTGACCATTCTATAGATTGTTGAAAGTAGAAATGTTCTCTGTTTCCAGGATACAGTGTTTCATATCCACTTATTGTTTTATCCACTTCTCAGTCATTGTCTGAGAGAAATGAATTAAAGTTTTCTCTTATCAATGTATTTCTGCCTTTATCTCCTTTAATTTCTGAAGCTTATGATTTATGAATATTTCTGCCAAGTTATTTGCTTCATAGATATTCACACTTCTTACAACTTTATTATGCACCTTTAATATTACAAAGTACCCATCTATGCTCTATTTATTGCTTTTGGTCCTGAATGATATCTTTTCTGATACTAAGATTGTGACCCCTGTTTCTTTTTGTTTTCATGTCTCTGGTGTCTTAAACTCTTCTTTCATTTTCAATCTGTCTGAATTATTTTTTTTAAGAAAGAAATATCTTGCAAATCTTTAACATAGAATTTGGTTTAGAAATTCCAATTCAAATGATTTATACAATAAAAAAATCAGATGTATTTACAAAGATTGACGTGCAAGAATAATCATTAAAATAGGGGTCTATTAAATAAATTATGCTATATTCAAAATATGTAATAACATATAAACATTAAAATCAGATTGAATAAAAATACTTAATGGCTTAACAAAATCTTTCAAATATAAAGATATTTTATTTTCTGTATAAAATATATTCTGATAAAGCCAGTTACCAAATAGATTGTATAGTTCGATTCCAACACAAATACCCATTTGCATATCTTTAACCAAACATATAAATCTATATAGTATAGCTATATAATGACTCGAAGGCATGTATAAAATATTAACAGTTGTTATATCTAAGTGGTAGTATTGGAGATGGTTTTAATTTTCTTCTTTGTGCTTTTCTATATTTTCTGGTTTTAATATTTACATATATTATTTTTATAAACTCTAAAAATTGTGATTTTTTTCTAAAAATGAAAAGAAAAATAAAAAACTCATTGTCTAATTATTTGACACTAAAGTCCTGGCATCAGTTAGCGATAGGACTCTTTATTACCTGCCGTACTCCCCCAGCATTTTGGCAGAGCTCTAGAGCTGTATGGTTTTCCCTGAGTAGAGTCCTCAAGACGTTGGCACCTGAAGGAAACTCCATCACTCTTCCTCCTTTCTCCTAGAGGCTTCCTTCTGACTTCCTGGAACGGGGTCGGAGGGGCTTACTCCTTTCCTAGGGTCCCTGTTTTTGCCTTCAGGCCCAGTGCCTGTAGCCTCATTTTACCTACAGATTTCTGTAGCTGCTTGTTTCCAAGAATTCCTCACAGAATAGTTCCCAAAAGAACAGGATGTTCTTTTCCTTCCTTTTATTTGCTCGCTAGTCTTTGTTTACTTGGAACACATGAGCATTCCTTTGACTAAAAACCTGTCAATTCTGCTTTTCAGCTCCTTCAATGGGTAATTTAACTGTCTCATTAGTGTTTTTATGTGTGGATTTTACTAGAATTCCTTTGAGTTTTTGTTGTCCTTTTACCAGTTGATGTGGAGACACAAGCTATCATTATAAGGCCTCTTAAGAAATTAAACCATTTCTCTGAAGCAGTCTTCATAAAGAACTCCCGAGATTTGTGTTTTACATCTCAGGCAGGACTTCTCTTGGATTAAATTCTTCATTTGTCAGCTTCTAAGGCTCAAATGAAGTTTGTTGGCACTTCAGTTGTCTTTCTAATTTTGGGAGGGGTGTCATGAAAGCACTTGCGGTGTGTGATTTTGTTTTTTGGTTTGATTTTTACCTTTGTTTTGTTGTTGTTTTTAAAGATGTGGCTATTTCCATAAAGGTTTTGGCAATTACATAACCAGTAAAGGAAAAGCACTGTCTCAAAACAAAACTAGACAAAACAAAATGCAGTCTCACAAACCATTAATTTCACCTTCTCTCGTTATAATTTGGGGTTGAGGTGCTATTTAGAGTAAAACCCTATAATTTTGTTGTAAGTGTATGATACTCCTTCCTTCTGTTAAATTTCCATATCCAATTCCCAAGTGAGTTCTTAAAGCAAGTGCTGTATTGATTAAGTTTTTATATCAAATCTACTGCTAGACTGAGATGAAACTGACCTAGCTGATATAACCAAATACTTCTCTCTTTTTGTCTCAGACCCAGAACCAATCCTAGAAAAAAATATCAAGGAGCACAGAGTGTTACTCTCTCTCCTCCTATTTTGGTCCTTGCTTGGCGTCCCCAGCAAGAAACCCTAAGAATCTGTGTTGCCTTGGAGGACCTCCTAAACTGAGCACTGCCCACAGGTTGCATTCACCCAGCAGATGTATTTTGTGAGACCTGTACACAGTTAACAATTGGTAAAAGTCACAACGAAATTCAAGTATCAGAATCTCTTGGAAAACTGAAAAATTAGGCCAATAGAACTTAGAGTCCTGCAGAATAGCAGTTAACCTCTTCTTTTTGATTTTTTTTGATTTTTATTTAGTACTGACAAATAAAAATTGTGTATATTTGAGGTATACTATGTGATGCTTTAATACATGTATACATTGTAAATGATTACCACAGTGAAACTAATAAGATATCCATCACGTCCCACAGTTACCTTTTTGTGTGTGTGGTGAGAACTCTTGAGATCTGCTCTCAGCAAATTTCAAGTATACCACGCATTATTATTAACTAGGGACACCAAGCTGCACATTAGATCTCCAGAACTTATGCCTCTTATAGGTGAAAGCTCTAAGCTTATATCCTTTGATCACTATCACTCCTTTCCCCATTCTACTCTCTTACTATGAGTTCAATTTTTTGTTTTAGATTCCACATGTAAGTGAGATCATATGATATTTGTTTTTCTGTGTCTGGCTTATTTCACTTAGAACCTGTCCCCCATTTCATCCATGTTGTTGCAAATGGTAGAATTTCCTTCTTTTTTAAGGCGGAATAATATCCCATTGTATATTTTCTTTATCTATGTGTCTGTTGAGGAACAGTTAGGTTGTTTCCACATCTTAGTTACTGGCAGTAACGCTGCAATGAACACGGGAGTGCAGCTATCTCTTCAAGATAGTAATTTAATTTCCTTCAGATATTTACCCAGAAGTGGGATTGCTGGATCATATCGTAGTTCAAGTTTTAGTTTTTTGAGGAACCTCAAGACTGTTTTCCATAATGGCTGTGTCAATTTAGATTCCCACCAACAGTGCACAAGGGTTCCCTTTTCTCTACATTCTCACCAACATTTGTTGTCTTTCGACTTTTTGATAATAGCCATCCTAACATGTCTGAGGTGATACCTCATTGTCGTTTTGATTCGCATTTCCTTGATGATTAGTGATGTTGAGCAACTTTCTTATAAACCTGTTGACCATTTGTAGGTCGTCTTTGGAAAAATATCTATTTAAATCCTTTGACTATTTTTTATCTGCTTGTTTGTTTTTGTGCTATTGAGTTGTATAAGTAACTTATATATTTTGGATATTAACCCCTTATCAGATACATGACTTGGAAATCTTTTCTCCCATTCCATAGGTTTCCTTTTCATTTTGTTGACTGTTTCCTTTGCTGTGCAGAAACTTTTTAGTTTGATATAATTCCACTTGTTTATGTTTACTGTTGTTGCTTGTGCTTTTGGTGTCAGTTCCACAAAATTGTTGCCAAGAACAATGTCAAGGAGTTTTCCTCCATGTTTTCTTCTAGGAGTTTTACAGTATCAGATGTTATGTTTAAGTCTTTAATCAATTTTGAGTTGATTTTTGTATATGGTGTAAGATAAGGGTCCAACTTCATTCTTTTGCATGTGGCTGTCCAGTTTTACCAACACTATTTATTGAAGGCATTTTTCCTTTCCCCATTGTATTTTCTTAGCACCTTTGTTGAAAATTAGTTGACTGTATATGCTTGGGTTTACTTCTAGGCTCTCTATTTTTTTCTGTTGGTCTATGTGTCTGTTTTTATGCCAGAACCATATTATTTCTCTTACTCCAGCTTTGTAATATAATTTGAAGTGAGGAAGTGTAATGCCTCCAGTTTTGTTCTTCTTTCTCAAGATTGCTTTAGCTGTTCAAGGTCTTTTGTGGTTCCATATGAATTTCAGGATTGTTTATTCTATTTCTGTAAAAAAATGCTGTTGAAATTTTGATATGGATTGCACTGAATATATAGATTACTTTAGGTAGAATGGACATTTTAACAATACAATTCTTTCAGTCCATGAACAAATAAATCTTTTCATTTATTTGTGTTTTCCTTGATTTCTTTCATCAATGTTTTATAGTTTTCAGTGTACAGATCTTTCACCTCCTTGGCTAAATTTATTGCTAAGTATTTTATTCTTTTTTGATACTGTTGTAAATGGGATTGTTTTCTTGATGTATTTTTTGGATAGTTCGTTGCTAGTGTAGAGAAACGCAATTGAGTTTTGTATGTTGATTTTGTATCCTGCAACTTTATTGAATTAATTTATTAGTTTTAACAGTTTTTCGCTAGAGTCTTCAGAGTATTCTATATATAAGATCACGTCATCTGCAAAAAGAGACAATTTAGTTCTTCCTTTCTGATTAGGATGCCTTTTATTTCTTTGTCTTGCCTAATTGCTCTGACTAGGACTTCCCATACTATGTTAAATAGGAGTGATGAGAGTGGGCACACTCGTCTTCTTCCTGATCTTAGAGGAAAAGCTTTCAATATTTCACCATTGCGTATGATGTTAGTTGTTGGCTTGTTATATATGGCCTTTATTTATGTTCAGATATGTTCCTCTATACTCATTTTGGTGACAGTTTTTATCATGAAAGGATATTACATTTTGTCAAATGCTTTTTCTGCACCTATTGAGATGATTACATGATTTTTTATCTTTTATTCTATTAACGTGGTATATCATATTTACTGATTTGTGTATGTTGAACCATCTTACATCCCAGGGACAAATCCCACTTGACCATGGTAAGTAATCCTTTCAATGTGCCGTTGAATTCAATTTGCTAGTATTTTATTGAGGATTTTTACATCTACGTTCATCAGAGATAATGACCTATAATTTTCTTTGCTTGTAGTGTCTGTTTCTGGCTTTGGAATCAGGGTAAGCCTGGCCTTGTAAAATGAAGTTGGAAGAGTTCCCTCCTCTTCAGTTTTTTGAAAGAGTTTATGAAGGATTGGTATTAATTCTTCTTTAAATGTTTGGTAGAAGTCACCTGTGAAGCCATCTGGTCCTAGACTTTTCTTTGTTGGGAGATTTTTGATTATTTAATCAATGTCTTTACTTGTTAATGGTTTACTGTTCAAACTTTGTATTTCTTCATGATTCAGTCCTGGTGGGGTGTACACTTCTAAGAATTTATCCATTTCTTCTAGGTTATCCAATATGTTGGCGTATAATTGTTCATACTAGTGTCTTACAATCCTTAGTATTTCTAAGTGGTAATGTCTCCTGTTTCATTTCTGATTTTATTTATTTGAGTCTTCTCTCTTTTTTTCCTAGTTAGTATAGCTGAAGGTTTACCAATTTTGTTTATCTTTTCAAAAAACCAACTCTTGGTTTCATTGTTTTTTTTCCTA